TCAAGTGTTTGCGACAATTCCGTGTTTGTGCTGGAGATAAAATTCTTCAAGATCAGCTTAGAAATTATCAACAAAAAATGCTTCTTACATATCTAAGACACCATAGTATCTGGTAAAAAAGTGTTTCAGAGAAGTTAATAACAAAATAGTATAAAAATTTTAAACATTTTTCTGATGAAGCTTTTGACAATTAAATTGGAGAACAACTACTTTTAATTATATGGCTTGTTGATTTTGTATGATTCTTTACTATACATTATTATTATTGGTAGTTACTGCTGTTATTGTTTCAGAATCATTGAATAATATTAAAAATACAGACAAATACTTTAACATTGTCTAATAATGTAGACTCACTACAATACAAAAGGCTTTGTTGTTGATTCTGTTTATATTAAGATTGTTAACTTTTACCATCTACAGAGTTTTTCTAATGTCAGAAAAATGGCGATTAGTAAATGCTTTACATCAAGATTAGCAACTCCTTTAATTCGTATAGATTTAAACTTCAATAATAAATTAGGAAATTTTAGTTTAGTTTACATATCCAAGAGTGTCAATGGGTTTTCTCAAAATATCAAAAGGTTTATTCAATTCAGCATCCACGAATATTTAATTCTTAAGTATTTCATAAGTCACTCAAAATGTTGCCTTATGGTCAGGTCACCGCACTATATAAAATGAATAAAACCGTGAATCAAGGTGATGTTAGTTTTTCACAGTTTTCACGAGGAAAACAATGTTTAAAAAATTCAGTTATACTTATCTTTTATACATTAAATAAAATAAAAAAAAATTATGGTATACAAAGTATTGATTTGAATAATATTTTGAAGCAAGGAGACAGTTTTTACCTGAATGTTAGAGATAATGGTATAGAAACTGATTATTTATTGCCAAGTGATTCGCCAGATCACTTAATTTGTTCAGGGAAAAAAAATTAGCTTAATATTTCTGACATAGGAATTGGTCATTTATTGGAACTAGAAAATGGTATCAACTTGTTCAGTACCAAATCAATTGAACAAGCTTTAGATGATGCATTTAAGCTGTCTCCAACATTTTTATGTATTTTATGTATTAAAGATTGTTTTGTTGCAATATACAAACTTGATAATTTTCTTCTACTTTTTGATTCACATAGTAGAGACTGTCATGGCTTTTTGGCCAGTAAAGGAACTGCAGTGGTCATAAAATTTTTTTTTGGTTCAGATTTGTACATTTTCTTAAAACAGTATAGTAGATCTTTGACAGATTCTAAGGTAGTTCGCTTTGAATTAACATCTATAAACATTGAAGTGATTGACATTGATAATACCAATGTGTTTTGTACAAAAAATAGTTTATTTGTTTATTCTAAAACCAATTATACACAATTAACTCCACGTTATTAAAATTTAGAGTTAAAATGTCATGTATGCGGCTTGAGATTAAAATCATTATTAGCTTATGTTACTCATTATCAATGCCATCGTCACGATGCAAACATTTATTTTCCTTGTCTGAGCAATTGCAAAAGAAATTTTAAAAGCTAATCTTCTTTCAAAAGACATATAAGAACTGCTTATAATAATCAAACAGTTACTACACTTGCTCTGTCAAAATTTAAAGACAGTGATATATCGTTTACATGTGCCATTATGTTAAGCAAACAAGTATGTAGGGGATTAATTCATTTCTAAAATTAATTAAAAATTTCTTATTTATCAAAAAATTCATAGTGACTCACATGATAAAATTATGTGTCAATTTATAAAATTCAATACGACTTTTAATAACCGAAATTCGTTAGCATCCCACTGGACTAGAAAACACAAAAATAGGGATGCACGACATATAAAATCATTCTATTTAACATTTATTCTAGATCTCTTAGAAAGTATTTATGATGACCACCATTAAACAGTTTTAGAAAGTTTCAGTCCCTTTGAGTTATGCTCGACAGAAAGTTTTAAAAAATGTTTAATTAAAAATATTACATTGGAAGATAATAAGCAATGTCTAGCAATGTTTTTTTTTGAAATTGCAAGTGAAACACATTTTACCAGTATCGTACATTCAAAGCATCACAGATGAGCTTGAAGTTTCTAATAACTACAGTACAGAATATTTGTTGCATACTCTATCTTCCACAATGTCAATTCTTTCCATTAAAGTTAGGGATGGTGTTCTTAAGAATTTGTAAAAAAATTCTTTGCATGTTTTGCGCAGTGTAAAAAGCAGGAAAACCTTTTACCAAAAATATATGGCTTACATAAAACCTGTTGAATTCGCATTGGGGTATGATAATAATAAAATATTTAGAACAGCCCAATATGTTTCAATAAAAGATTTGATATATATGCTGTATTCAAGACACAGCTATGATATTGGATTCTGCCTAAAACACGGTAGTACTTCAGGTGTATTTACAAACATTTCGAGTGGATCACTCCTGCAATCTAATGCAATATCTAGTGAAAAGATAATATACCTCATGTTGTTCCAAGATGCCTTTGAAGTTACCAATCCTATTGATTCTGGAAAAAAAAAGCACAAAACTCTGGGTGTTTATTTGACATTAGCAAATATTTCGTCTTCAAAGCGATACACATCTGATCAACTTTAATTAGTGCTTATGTGTCGAGATGTTGATTATAAGTTTTTTGGCTTAAAGAAGGTGTTTGCTCCTTTATTGTCTAATTTACAGGAAATCTCAATGTCTGGTGTAGCTGTTTCTGACACTTTGATATTAACAATTAAGCTTCTATGTATACTGGGTGATAATTTTGGATCGCATGCTATTGGAGGTTTTTGTGAAAACTTCAGCACAGTTCAATACTTTTGTCGATACTGCTTAGTGACACATATCGAATTTGATGCAAATCCTCACTTTTGTGGTCCTGAAAGAACAAAAGAAAGACATGGTAGAAGCTTGCACGAACTAGCAAACTGTGTTTAAACAACTCTGAAGGCGTCAAATTTGAGTCACCTTTTTAACAGTGTTAGTGATTTTTTTTTCTCCATTGGTTTGCCACCATGTCTTGCTTATGACTGTTTTGAAGGACTAGTACCACAAGACATCTTTTTATCAAGTATTTTGTGAAAAAGCGATGGTTTTCTTATAACAACCTGAATAGAAGAATTAATCTGCTTAAGTATTTAGAAAATGATGCACAAGACAAACCATGTGAAGTTAATAAAATATCATGCACAAAGAAGCTAAGTAGTCATGCAGTACAAAACTGGGTGTTTTTACGCTTATTTTCCATAATTATTGGATCATATGTAACAAGTAATTATGAAGACCCTGTGTGGTTACTGTATCTTAAATTAAAAAAAATTAAGTAGATGGTTTGTTCTCAAAAGATCTTGCACATACCGCACACCTTAAGACATTAATACATGAGTATTTGTCAGGGCGAAAAGAACTGTTTCCTTATAAACAACTTTTACCTAAACATCATTATTTGTGTCATTACCCACAACTTTTACTACGATATGGCCCTCTTATACGTGTATTTACACTGCGGTTTGAAAGCAAACATTCTTATTTTAAACGATGTGCTCGAAATTATCATAATTATAAACACCTATGCAAAACTTTGACAAACATCAATTTCTGCAAACATATAACAGTTTAAGCATTACAACCCAAAAATATTTTTCTATTGATTTTATTCTGTTTAGTAGAAAAAATTTCAATTCTTTAATAAATAGTGTAATATTGAATACATGTGGTCAGTTTCCACATGATGTTTCAACACATGCTGTTTTTCGTGGCACACACTGTAGGTTCGTCGCGTCCATGAATTGAATAAACAAAACGTATTATTTTATAGCTTTCTTTTAACCTCACTAATTCTATACAAAAAATTTTTCTATATATACAAAATAACAAAATGTCCCATGAAAACACATTTAATTACAATTGAAATAACGCGTGACTTTCAGCACGTGTCTACGTGATTTTCAACATGCACAATTCACCAAAATAAAAAGAGAATACGCCCTCTTGGTGAATTAACTCATAAGTCTAATCTTTGTGGGGGTCTTACTGTTCGTCCGAAGCGTGTTACACGTTCTTGAGAATCACACTGAATTTGAGTAACATCATCGTGATATCTTCCTTTAGCGTTATCGTTTTTATCTTTTAGTCTGTAAAAAACATCGTTGACTGATTCATTTGAACTCTGTATGTCTGTACAGCGACGCAGGTGTGAAATATGACGCGGATATACCCGATTTGCATATTCGACGTCAAACGATAAAGTATTTTGCTTTCGCACTACACCTGGTATCCACGGTTGGTCACATTTTGTTTCTTGAGTTGGCTTTACCCACCCCTTGTCTCCCTCTTTGAATTTCGTATTGACGCCTTTCTCGTCTGTTTTCTTCCAAATATCGATATCTGAGATAAAACAAGTTGGTTTTTTCTTGAATTGCTCGGATGGACTTTCAGTACAATTGGATGATATTGTCTTGTTGTACAGCAAGACTGCCAGAGCGATTAAACAATGTGAGCGAGCAACTGTTCTTTTTATCGTCCTGTGTATGCGTTCAACTATACCATTACCTTGAGCTCGATGTGCTGCTCGTTGCTCCAAATTAACATTCCATTCTTCAGCAAAGCTTGTTAACGTGTTGGACCGAAATTCGTTGTCCATTAGAAGACATACCGGTGGTCCAAATAAAGAGAATATCTCTTCAAGTTTACCAACAACTTTAGCAGCTGTTTTAGTTATTAGTTTACGCCATATTGTATATCGTGATGGACCACAATCAATCATCGATAAGTACAGTTCAGCACCTACATGTGTCACGTCAATGGCAACCCGATTCAAATTTTTTTCTACGCTTAGCTGACCATTCTTCCACTGTATGGAGTAAGGGTCGATGGAGTTGCACTGGTTACAATTTGCTATTATTGCTGAAACCTCCTTACGTGATACATACTGGTTATTTTACAAGCAAAGTTGTAATGTTCAAGCGACACCAAAGTGACCAACCGAATGAATTTTCTATATGTCTTTTTGTTCAGGTAATCCAACTGCACACACTGTTCTGCACCATTTTTGAGGGAATCGTGAGAGTCGATCAGCCAAATTTATTTCGGATGGAATCCATTGTACTACAATCTGAATACCTTTTGCCACTTCCTTAATAGTATTTAACTGTCTTTGTACTAACAACTGAGAAATTCCACGAGTTTTTACGCAATATTCTTCCTTCAAAACTGCGTTTAACCATCCTACGGTGCTCTTGCTATCACTGTATACTAAATTATATACTTAACTCTTTTATGTCCCACTTACTAGCTAAGTTTAGTCCTCGAAGTATCGAATCCAGTTCACTTATATTGATATGGTATGTGTCACTTGCTGGCCGTAGCCATGTTGCATCTTCAACAACTACTCCACCAATGAGCAGAACTACACCAAGTCCTATGGATGATGCATCACAATAAAGCTCAGCTTTTGCATTCACTGGTACCAACCATTTTCCACCAACCAGATCCTCCTTTTCCACACGGTGAAACAAATCTTTCAGTTTTTCTTTACAATCTTCTGAAATAAAATCACATCAAGGTATATTTCCAGCTAAACGTTTGATGTATGAAGCTTGTAAACGCAAACTTCCTGCCACTGGGTCCAATGAGTTTGCCTAACTTGCTAAAAAGCTGCGATCGTGTGACTGCATTTAAAGGTTCAAATTGTACCACATCGTCTCGTTTCCATATCAGTTCCCTATTTTTATTTCTTTTGACTCTCAATCCTAAGACACGTCCTTGTTCAAGATTTTGTGGAGGTTTATATTGTAACCCGAATTTATGCAAGTGCTTCGCTACATTTTCCGCAGTTTCCGCACTTTCATCCACAAATATATCATCAATGTAGTTATCACATGCTTCTTCACAGTTGGATTTAAATTGAGCACATGCCGAAGAATTGTGGTCATTATTGTTGGAGCCACGTTAATGTCAAAACACATTCTAGTAAAACAATATCGTTTCCCATTTATAATCACCGTTTGATATAGCCAGAGTCTTTTATCAATATGAATTTGGAGGTGGGCTTTTTTAAGATCAAGAATTTTTGCATTTTCAATTTTTCTCCAACAAAGCAGTTTTCTTGACAAACGTCCGCATTTGCTGCATCACAATTTACAAGTTCGTTGAGAGCTTGAAAATCTCCCACTGGACGTACCTTTTTGTCCTTATTTTCTTGCACTACGCACGTTAGCGGTATCAATACTTTAGGTGGTCCCAACGTTAGTTCGTTATATGGTACAAGAATGCCAGAATTATTCCATTCATTTATTTCTTTGCGGTAACTACGTTCGTACTCGTGGCTCATCTTGTATTCACAAATGGTATTATCAATTACAGGCTCTTTATTCCAGTTCCATGATGCCGTCCACTTTTTCCCATCAAAATTTGCTGCGAAGTTCTGATGTTTTATTTCGTTTCTTTTGTTTTCTTCTTTTATATTTTTGACATCACATTTTATTTCGTTTATTTCGTTTTTATTTTTTATTGTTGTAGTAACAGCACATTTTATTTCGTTTCTTTTGTTTTCTTTATTTGTATTTTTGACGTCACATTTTATATCGTTTATATCGTTTTTGTTTTTTATTGTTGTAGTAACGACACCACATTTCGCTGTGTCATATGCTAACATTTGGACAGTACGGTTTTTATTACCATAAATGATGACTCCTCCGAATTTTTCAATCGCATTCATTCCTAAAATCAAATCAAACCCGAATGGTTTTTCTTTTACAACCAGAGAATTAACAACCCGGTGTATTCCATCAATTTCCAATTTGATTACCGTTTCACCCAGCACATGCACAGCTCCTCCCAAAGTTGTGATAAGTTTTTGACTTTTTAAAACAAGACCATGCGTGGATTTAGCATGAATCACAGTGATGGAGCATCCAGAATCAATTAATGCTGTTCGGAGCATTCCATTTATTTTCACTTTTAATGATGGCAACGTCGTTTCTGGGAGAATACTGGATGCCATTATTTCCAAATTCTCCCTTTTCCTTTTAAACTTTGCAATCGTTTGAAGCAGTCTTTAGCTTGATAATCGTGTGAACAATTCTTGCATTTTGCTTCGCAGTCCCGTGCAAAATGTCCAAGTTTCCCACAATTGAAACATGTAACTTTGTTCGTGTCGGACACACTAAATGTCCGCGGAAGTAACGATGTTGCCGTAATCATTACATTATCGGAACAATCTAATTGTCGAGCTACCTGGGTTACTCGTTCAAGGGTAACAGCAATTTTCACAGCCTTTGCAAACGTTAGTTCTTCAGATTCCAGTAATAATCTTTTGATTGTAACACCATCGTTAAAACCCGTGATGAATTAGTCGCGCATTCGATCATCTCTATCCGTGAATTTGCATCCTTCAGCAGCTCTTGCAATTCGTCGTGAAAATTCCGTCACACTTTCGTTACTTGCTTTTTTTATAGTTGCAAATTCAAAGCGTAGTATTAACGATGACTTCGGTTTAAAGCTTCATGATATTTTCCTCGATGTCTTCGTAGGTAACTGAGTCATCTTCTGGGTATGCAGGCAAGCATAAATCTTCCAGTGCAGAATAAATCTGTGGTAGCAAACATATTAATATTATTGTTTTCCTTTTGGATTCGGGTACGTCCATCGCAGTTATGTATGTTCGTAGTTGGCGGACAAACTGCTGATGGTTGCCATCGAATACCGGTGGCATAATTGCCTAAATAGCATGTTGGTTCGTCGCGTCCATGAATTGAATAAACAAAACGCATTATTTTATAGCTTTCTTTTTAATCTCACTAATTCTATACAAAAATCGTTTCTATATATATAAAATGACAAAAAGTCCCATGAGAATACTTTTAATTACAATTGAAATAACTCGTGACTTTCAACACGTATCTACGTGATTTTCAACATGCACAATTCACCAACATAAAAAGAGAATACACACTACTAGAAAAATCTTTTTTATTGTGTAAATTTTCAAAAGTTTATGAATTTCCGATTTTCTGAAAATTCTTTTCCGAAAATTGGAAATTCATTGGTTCCATCACTTGTTTGTGATGGAACCAATGTAAACACGGACTGAAAAAATGGTATTATTTGCTTTCATGAAAATCGTATTGGCAAACCTCTTCAATGGTGTATTTTTGCTTCATTTGAGTGAGCTGCCTCTCAGAGGAATTTACACTGCACTTGATGGTAGTACATCCGGTCCTACTGCATTCAACGGTATTCTTGGTTATTTATCTTTTGATGTTCATTTCCTACCGATACTCGACTGCTAGTGTGAATGGAGTATTCATTAAATAAATAAATTCATAATACATCCGGTCCTACTGCATTCAACGGTATTCTTGGTTATTTAACTTTTGATGTTCATTTCCTACCGAAACCACTGTTATTTGCTTTCATATCGTCTGAAAATAAGTAAAAATACTATGTAAATAATAATAAAAGCTACATTAGTATGCTAAAGGAGAATGTGAAAATGCAAAATTCTTATATAAATTCCTATTGTTTTAGTCGGCAAAAGTTGTAATGGCACCCCACCCCTACGCAACACCTACTCGCGCCGGCCCTATATATATATATATATATATATATATATATATATATATATATATATATATATATATATATATATATATATATATATATATATATATATATATATATATATATATATATATATATATATATATATATATATATATATTATATATATATATATATATATATATATATATATATATATATATATATATATATATATATATATATATATATATATATATATATATATATATATATATATATATATATATATATATATATATATATATATATATATATATATATATATATATATATATATATATATATATATATATATATATATATATAAGAGATATAATTTGATGATATATGCAAGCATGCATCAAACTTGTTAGTTGGTGCAAATTGACTAAGAAAAATATGTAAATATGTAACTTAAATATAATAAACTATTAAACATAGTATAATAATCGAAGCAAGAAAAGAATTAAGTAATCAAAATATGCTAATATATTACTTAAAACAACCATTAAAAGTGAATAACAATAACATTTAAATAAAAAATAATAATTTTTTATTTTATTAGTTATTATAATAAATTTTTTCTTTATCTTATTAACTAAAACTCTATTATGAATAGCGAAAATTATGTTACGATGGTTATGTTGAAAGAACTGCTATCGGCTCAAGCAGATACAATGTTGAAATGTTTTAAAGAAAGCTTTAAGAGCATTAATGAAAAAATACTATTATTAGAAAAGGATGTTGAGGAAATAAAACGAGGACTTACTTTTGTTGAAAATGGTATTGAAACTAAAGTAAACAAAGTAGATAGTAATATGGCGATAATAAAAGAAACAGTAATTGGGATAAAGTCGTTTCAAGGAAAGTTAATAAACGAGGCGACAGAAAACAAACGCAAAACTGTTGAGTTGGAAGATCGCAACCGGCAAAATAATTTAAGAATAATTTTGCATTAAAGAAGGAGTAAACAAAACCAATGAAGATGTATTGAAAAAAATTAAAACCCTCATTAAAGAGGACCTTAAAATAAATTAGTCTATTATAATTGAAAGGGCTCATAGAAAAAAGACCAAGGATAATCGTCTGCAAAATACTCAATTGGTAAGATAAAGAGACAATATTAACAAAGCTCATAAGTTAAAAGGAAAAAATATATTTGTTAACGAAGATTTTAGCGAAGAAACAGCGAGAATACGCAAAGAACTTTTTGCTCAAGCCAAAATTCATAGAAGTAACGGCAAATACGGGAGGGGGATTTATAACCGTTTAATCGTTAGAGATATGCCGATTGAGAGTAAAGCTGATGACAAAACAACTTTAATAAGCTCTTTTTTTTTTTTTTTTTTTTTTTTTTTTTTTTTTTTATTCGTATATTTGCCGTACATATAACATTTACAAGTTTCGTAAATTAATATTTACAAGTCTCGTGAGTCAAAATATATATAGTGAAATTTATAATTAAATAGTACAGGCCGGACTTCAAGAAGATCGTAATGATCTTATCACGAAGCCCTTACAATGTGTTTGATATATTATTATGATTATGTTAAATATATATATAAATATAAGTATATATAAAATATATAAATATAATTATATATTAAGTACAACTATGTTTATATATTCTTTAAATTTAGCTCATAATAAAAAATAAACTCAAAATAAGCTCAGTATAAAATATTAGACATAACTAGCAGCATAATAACTAAACTTGATAAGAAAAAATCAAGTGTTTTTTTTGTGTGTAATAAACACATTTTGATATATTGTTTGAGAAATTTGAGAAGAAAAAAAAAAAAGATTCATTTAGATAATACACATAAACGAGTCAGTTCACTTTGTAGTTGATATATATGTATTTTAATTTATAGTCTTAAAAGAATTCTGAGTATCTGTTTAGATTCTGTATCAGATTTTTTAACTTTTTTTTCAAGAAATTTTGATTGCAAATTGAATCTAGATTGCAGATTGATTTATTTTTAGTTACTAGTTTGTTGTATAAATAAGGACCCCGATATGAAATTGAGAACTGGGAAAGTTTTGTTTTTTTGAAAGGTGTAATAAAGTTTCCTTTTTCTCTTGTGTTATATTTATTAACGTTATTTATAAAAAAGTTATTTAAAAAATGGTTTGGTACTTGACCTAATTTAAATTTTAGCATAAACAGTATATTTTGGTAAATATTAATTTGATAAATATTAAGCACATTCATTTCTTTAAATAAGGGTTCAGTGTGTGTAAATTTGTCTTTATGGTAGATAAGTCTAACAGCATGTTTCTGACGTCGATATAAAGTTTTCAATTTGGTTATATGCGTACTCGCCCAAGCTATATTCGCATATATGAGGTAGCTGTGTATAAAAGAGAAATATATAAGTTTTAAATTACTTTGCGACAGCATAGGTTTTGCTTTATAAAGTAGACCTATGTTTTTTGATATTTTAGTGTTTAAAGCATTTATGTGACTTTTCCAAGATAAATTTTCATCAATTATAACTCCTAAAAATTTAGTTTCGTGAGTTCTCTCAATTACTATATTTTCTATTTTTAGAGAGGGTAGAATATTTGGTAGTGTGTTTCTTTGTTGGTTTGAGTGAAATAAAGTGTATTTTGTTTTTTCTATGTTTAGCGATAACTTATTTGTTTTAAACCATATATTTAATTTTTGGAGTTCTATGTTTACATTATCATACAGATCCTTGATGTTTGTCGAAGAGTAAAATAAATTTGTATCGTCTGCAAACATTATAAATTCAAGTTTGCTAGAAACTTTTGGAAGGTTGTTTATATAGATTAGGAACAAAAGAGGAGCAAGAATCGAACCTTGAGGAACACCACAAGTTAATTTTAATAATTTACTGTGGTAATTATCATCTGTAATAACACATTGTTGTCTGTTATACAGGTAACTTTTAAACCACTGCAGTGTATGGTTTTTTAATCCGTATTTTTCCAACTTTTTTAGTAGGATTTCATGATTTATTGTGTCGAACGCTTTTGACAAGTCTACAAAGACTCCTAATACGAACTTCTTTTCATAGATTGATTCACTAATTCTATTGACGAGGTCTACGATAGCATGCTCTGTCGAGTGCTGAGTTTGAAAACCATATTGGTTTTCATTCAGGATTTTGTTTGTGGTTAGGTATTTATATAAACGATTGTAGATTATTCGTTCGAGCAGTTTTGAGAATACGGGAAGGATTGATATTGGTCTGTAATTATTTAAGAAAGATGTATCTCCGGATTTATAGATAGGAATAATTTTAGCTATTTTTAAATAGTCGGGTACAATTCCTGTAATTATTGAAGAGTTAAATATTTGAAAAATGGGTTTACTTATTTCTGGGAAGACATTCAAAATAATATTGGCTGGGATATTGTCGATACCTGGACCTTTGTTAATTTTTAATGTTT